GCTCAGTTACTATGCAGGCCGTGTCTAAGCAGCACCCCCCCCCCCCTCCCCCCGCTGTGACAGCTGCTCTTGATCTCACCCAGCCCAGCCTAACTTTGCCCCCGGATTTTCCATTTGCCTTTAAATTGCTAAGCTGCCAGACCAGTGATCTCACTTCCCCTCTGTCTGCTACTGGAGTTGCCATGGGGACCAGCTGCTCCAATCCAGTGACACAACAGTTGGGCAGCAGCAGCAGCGAGGTCTGTCAATGTATAATGGGAGGGTGCATTTCAGTTGCTCCTCCCGCGTCTGGGAGGGAAGCTGGGGAAGGAACTGCTAGGAGCAGCTGCTTGCTTAAATGTGCAGAGACATGACATCCCCAGTACTTAACCTGGACTGGCAAGGCCCTGGGCATATCTGGGGTAGGGAAGGGGTGCACCAGCTCTGCAACAGCTCAGGCAATTCTACTGAATGTGAGGTTCTTTCACTATAGCTCTCACAGTGGCACGCAGGCCGCCTCCTGCTCTCATGCCTATGATGCCACCACTTTGCCTGACAGCAACTGATCCCCCCACAAGCCCTCCCACTCACTGCAGGCAGAGCATGAGAGTGATCTGGATGCTGGGGGGGGTGGGAGAAATCTGCTCCTTAAGTCACCTGCGTCCCCTGACTCCCTTTCCTGGGGCACTGCATAATACAGACAGACTCAGCTTTTCTCTCTGTTTCGAGTCCTAAGTTGCCTAAACCAGCAGGGCCCTCTCTTGGGCCAGCACTTTCCACTGACTTACGTTCTCCTATGCCATTGTATCTCTATCAGTTATTTTCAACCCGGGTGCCAGGGAACCCTGGGTGCCTTGAAATTGTTTCAAGAGTGCTAGGGCAGCAGGGAGCATGCCATGCAATGTTAGCACTGTTAGGTGAGCAAATGTGACTCAGGATGAACCAAGTGATTTAAAAGAGAAATCCAGTGTCAAAAACATTCAGCCCTGCTGCAAGCTTTCTGAGTTCTCTGATCAGAAGGATTAGTCTATTATTTTTCCATAGTCAGAAGTAAGTGAAAGCAAGGAGCTGGCATTTTTCAAGGCAGGGGCCTTGAGCCAAAAACACATTGATCAGTATCACCTGCATACTCTCAGGGGCTGCCCTGGAAGTAGAAGCTGCAGCTGCTTCCCATGCAGGAGAAACTGCAGCCAGCGCTGCCCCTTAGTGATGGCAGAAGGGATACCGTTTTATTCTTTTTTTTTTCCTTAAGCAGAGACAGGTAAAAATTTCGTTGCCCTAAAGTTTGTGTGACAGACAAGGCTTTTCCAGGAATAGATTTTATTTTTGCAAAATCAGGAACTCAGGTAAAGGAAGGAAGTTTTATGACCAAGGAAGATTTTATCATGCAGGTAGCAAATTTACGTCCGATTAGTTACTGCACAGTAATGCACGTGTAGACATGTTACTACACAGTAATAGTGCATGTGTGGACTGACTCGGGACTAACTTTACTCCCAAGTCAGTCCAAACACAGCATTACTGTGCTTTAATGCTTGCATGTGTAGATGCTGGGCCTAAATCTGCTTACTGCACAGTAATTTACTGTACAGTAAATTTATTGTGCAGTAAATGCACATGTAGATGTACCCAGTAAAACTGTAAGAGTGCTTGTACTAAAGCTTTGGGTTTTTTCCTACATAGTTCCAAGTGTCTATATGTTTGATACAGCCTCACCCTAGTACTGGGATGTAATAAATCAGTATGTGACTAATCGCCTTCCAGAACCCTTACATGAAAGGCAATGAAGAACCTAATTGACATGATCTCTGTTTTTAAGTACCAAGTATCAGAAGCCTGTAAGGCTCTGGTTTCAGTTGCCAGTGTCTCAGACATAAAGGGGCCTAAAGGAATAAAAGCTCAAACTGATGCCAAAGTGCTATACTCAAAACCTGCTGCCCTAACTTCTTGTGCAGTGTGGTACTCTGGCATAATATCATTTACAAAATCAACATCATCAGGAAAATGCTTCAAACAGAATCACAGAAAAGTAGGGCTGGAAGGGACTCAGGTCATCTAGTCCACTTCCCCACTAAAAGCAGGATCATCCCTATCTAAACCATCCTAGACAAGGGTGTGTCTAGTCTAGTCTCAAAACGTCCAGGGGTGAGCTGGAGTAGAAATGGATACTGAACAAACTATACAAGCTAGCTAAAAGCCTCAAAGGATTTCCTTGCAAATTACTGGGGATTTGCAAGTGCCATGACCTCTGCTAAGCTGCTGGCTGAAAAGCTGGAAATTGAAGCTAGTTAACCACAAGAAAGGCAGTGCAAAGTACAAACCAGAAAGAGAATGTTTGATTATGAGGCAACAGATGCACTAATCCAGAACGGAACTACGAAGTCAGTGGTTTCTATTATGTCTTGGATACTGCCAGTCACCTGGGGAAAGACTGTCATGACCTGAGAGTACAATAAGCAGCAATTCTCCACCTGCCCCTAAACGTCTCTCTATAAAGGAAATCCTATAACCACAAACCAAATAAGGTTTTAATCCTGGGAAAGGTGGGATGGTCAGTAAGAAACATGTCACAGAAACCCAGGGCTGACCCAAAGAGGGTACAGGGCCCAGGGCAAATCAGCATTGTGGGGCCCCCTTAACACTGCGTGGGCCCGTGGGACCCCTGCAAAGGCAGGGCATGGGCTGGGGTCTCCCCTGTACCCAGCGCGGGGGCCTCTGTGCTTCTTCTGTGGCAGGGGACAGAGCCACAAGCACCAGGCAGGCCTCACAGGAGGGGCCTCAGCTGCTCCACCCAGCTCCACAAGGCCCCCCAAAGCACAGGTCCTGGGGTGGTTGCCTCAATTTGCCATACCCTAGGGACAGCACTGCAGAGGCCAATTCCCTGAAAAACAGACTAAAAATCTCCAGGCTACTGAGCAGACACACTGCCCTCTTCTATTACCTACTAGGGTTAGCACAGGTTCATTTGTTTAATATCCTCCCCACTCATCACATACCCCTGCCCTAGGAGTGCTCACTGCCTGGGATGCAAGTGAAAAACACTTGACTAATGATAAAATGCAACCACCACTTTTCACGTAAGTTTGGTGATTCATTCATTTCAGCTGGTTGGAAAGCAGAGCAATGTTAGTGAGAAAGCCAGTAAGTAATAAGGCCATCTAGAGGCTGCTATACATACTACAGGCTTAATCAAAACCTACAGGGCTTTCCCAGTGGACTAAAAAGAAAAGCCGCTGGTGAAGACTTCAAGTCACTGAGCTACGTACAGGATTTACTAGCTGAACTTTGGTTTGCCTTGACAAGGATCACGATCTCTTCTGACTTCAGCATTTCTAAAACTCAGAAGCTTGTCGGTGCTACTCCCAACCCTCAATCCTAAACAGCGAGTTGTAACAGAATTAAGCCGAGCTGCCTGTAGCTCAGCACTCATCATCATCACAAAAATGTAATAGGATTTAAATTGACTTTTTAAAACTAGTTTGGTTAAAATTGTGCAAAAACTACTTGCAAAGTGAGCAGACACAAATAAGTCAATGCAAACTTGTTCTTACTAACTGTTTTATATCAAGCTAAATAAACCAATCAGACTCTGTCCTCACCAATGTATGCTGCTTCAGTCCTCATGCCTTCTCCGAGATGAAGGCTTCCAGTCTCAACAGCAGTTGCAACTGCAAAGAAAAGCTACCCAGTTAACACACATCACTCAGTTACTCCGGGCAAAATGATTAGCCTAAGGAGGTAAAAGAGCTACTGAGGTTGCCTGTCTACCATGTACCAGCATTGGGGTGCAATTTGTAATGTAGAATATTTGTGCTCTGGAGACCACCTGGATATGGATAGACTCCTTTGAGGAGCCCACTTGAGAAATATTTCCTCTGCTGAACTACAACACCTTTTTGCAACTGCATTCCATGCAGCTGCAATCCTGAAAGCACATTTTTGGTAAACATATGATTAACACCATTACTGAAGGAACAACTGCCAAACACAGCAGCAAACTCTCTTGAAAATTTCGGTCACCACGTGCATTGGAAACCACAGCAACAGACTTAAACAATCCAGGAGCGTTGCTTTATTAAAATCTTTATTCACACAATGCAGAGTCTGACCCTGGGCACACAAGTAGAAAGTCACAATTGTGTTTTATTTTCTCCTTAACAACCTCAATTTGTGCAGCTGCTCCCAAGGGCAGTCCTCTGGCAGTTCCGAAAGAGGTGCTTGTTTCAAGCGTTTCGCTCCAGCTGCCACAGCAAATAATTTACCTTCTTAATAAATTATTAGTTTTCAGTTGAAGTTTGCTTGGCAAGATGCATACTCCAGTTCATTAGATGCCCACAGAAGAGCAGGTTTCAGTGCTCCCTCCATGCTGACTGCTGACTCAGGAGGCAGGAGATAAACAGCAGCAGGCTGATGGCACTTTTAAATTGGTTCTTGATTTCTGCGCCTCAGCCCTCAGCCCATTAATAACATCCCCAAAACAACCACCTTTTAACAGTAGAGGCCAGTCATTTATTGTATGTGCACCTGTAAGACCGAGACCAAATGCAATGAAAGGATTTAATAAAAATCTCAATGACAGAGCCTAGCACCTGCCCACAAATGAGGGGCAAGACTGACCCTGTTGGCATAGCAATGACATCGTTTCTGCTCTAGGATGGCTTACTAGTTGGGACCAACATTTGATAAGCTGTTTTGCTGGAGGAAAAAAGAACTCTCATTACTAAAATGACTGAATCCAACACTGGCCTCAAAACTGATCCATAAAGCAACAAATCTGGTTTCAAGTAGAGAAGAACAAAGTTTCTTTCTGCTGCCTGAGGTCCTACTGCAAGTAGTCTCTTTTACAGTGCTTTGTCTTTGATGGTCACCATGCAGAGAAAGGGGTACATCTGAACTTACTTCAAGAAGATGGAAGCTAGTGAACAAGGCAACAACAAGATCCTCACACTAATTTCACTTCATTGCAAGATCATATTTTTGAATGAAAACCCAAACGCTAATAAGAAATTGCAAATCAAAATCCTAATCCCATCCAACATAGACTCCTCCTGACATGTCAGAGTTCAGAGTTTATGCTCCAAAACAGAACAGGGGAAAAACAGGCTTTAGGTGCCAATATTTTCCCTTCCTTCTCCCCTCCTTGCTGAAGTTAGTTTTGTTGGGAGCATTTTATGTCAATACACCACACAATTACTTTGATTTTCTTTAGAATGACTTGTTTGTCACTTTGGGGCCTATTCTGCCACTGTTACTGATGCCAAGCAGTACTACAGTCCATATAGCAGACTAACTGAAATCAGACTGTATGCAGCATACTATATTAACTCAGTAGCGATGGAAGTAGTTTCTTCCTCAAGCACTGGCCACCCACACGTACAATAACTTAGTCCACTCAAACAGTTCTGTGCTAATGGAAGCCAGAGGACCAATCTGCTCGTTGTCAGGAGAGAACTCACTGAGCAAACAAAGTTGGCCTTTAATAAGTGGATTCACTGCTTGTGAAACTGGAATAGACAGGCACTAGTTTAAAGCCCAGCAAATGGCTGAAAACAACTATACAAAACCACAACTGTTAGTGCACTTCAGCCCTCACCAGTCTCATACATTACTATTCCAGTCCCATGCCTAATTTTGGGCAAAAGGCCTGTGGTATGGATTGTTGTCCAAAGGGGAACTGAAACAGGACTGCACTCACATTCAGGTGGAAAGTCAGTGTTGACATTATTACAGCAATTCCCCTTTCATGACACTTTGTCTAGACAACCCCATCTTTGAATAACACCAGTTGCATTTTCAAAGTCCTGTACTATGTCAACAGGCATGTTCAGCTATAACACTAACCTGTTTTTATTTCTACCTTGTTGTACTCCAGGAACACACCACCCTGCTGTGGAAAGGAAAATTTCTTCATCTACCAGCCACACCAGCGCAGAGACTGAGACAACCCCAGATTCAAATGAGCAAATGCATTTACACTGTAGAAGGCTGGGAAAGGCAGTGCAATGGAGGCCAACTTGCTGTTCTTTTTCTCGTGTCCAGTAAAACAGTGCATGCAAAGGGATTTCAGTTCAGCCCTGCTATTAAGGGGAAGATTTAGAGAGGTTTTGTGCTATTTTCTCATACTCACAAACTGATGCAAGGCCAGTAAGAGCAGACTGCAAAATCTTCTTTTCCTTTTCAAGCCCTGCATTTAAATCCTTGGTTTATCCCAACTGAGATGAACTTTGTGGCCCTACGTTAGTGGCTTTTATACTCTACTGAAGGCTGACCCAATACTAGTGTAAGTGTATAACAAGTCAAGAATGAGGTACACAGACAGCTACACAGCAAAACCTGAGCAGAACTTGTCAATCTTACGGCAGGCCCCATTATTCATTAGTGTCAGGTTTCTCTTACATAAATTTATCTCAAACTGGTACCAGGTGGGATTTCCAAGACAACCCCACCAGGGAACAGAAAATAGAAGAAAGCTGACTAATGTTGCTCATAGTTTAAGAACCCAGCCACATGAAGGGCCAGATAGAAGGAAGGACTGACAAGCAGATGTCCAGCCATCTGTAAAACCAGCAGCACCGAAAACTGTAATCACTGTTCTGAGTGAGAAGGACTTAGTCCTTCACGAGATACATGAACAGTGAGCAGAGGCCGCCAACCAATGCTCTCTTCTCTTTAAGACCCTTGTTTGCAACTGCTGGTTATTTGAGAAGTTCGGTGAGGAGCCTTTTCCTTGTTTGAATGATTCAGGCAGCTATCCCTGTTTACAGGGCCTATGTCAAGGGGGATAAATTAGCTACATGGAACCTGTTCCTGAGTGGATTTTATCCTGCTTCTCAGCTCCAAATCAAGGAGAAATTTGGTTGATGTGGATGAAGATGATGCGGATATTTTCTCTGTGCAGACCTTGCTATAGTCCTTATAAAACAGAAAGTAGCAGTTGGTCCAGGTAGCAATTTCCTCTGGGAACTTGCATTAACTTGTAAGCATGTGCTGTAAAACAATCCTATCCCCTCCTTCATCTTTCAGCCTCATGGGTGACTTCACTAGGACTCCAATGGCAACACTGAATTATCACCACAGGTGAAGCAGGCCCCTCTTCCCAGCATGTAAGTAATGAAGGGATAGCTGAGCTCTAGATGCATCTTCTCCCACCCCTAAAAGGTGTTCATAAGAATGTTCCACCCCAGGAGGGAGTGCAAGCATTCAGTTTAATAATTATTTTATTTACCACTTCCTCTTTTTTTAAAAGTAGTAGTAAAATATCTAACCAGCTCGTAGCTGATTATATACAACCCTGAATCAGACTAGAACCTCATAGGAGCATACTGGAAGTGGGTGGCAGGGAAATGAAGGGGAAGAGAACTGTAATTGTTCACCTCCGTTATTCCCTACAGTACCAGTCCATGTATTCATCTCTGTACTCCACTCTTCCATTAACACCAGGAACTGTATTTTCCCAGTGCAACATCCACTTGTGGCAACAGACACTCCATAAACGACCAAACTGCCACTTCAGATACCCAGCTGTCCGAAGGCTCCCAAACTTTCTACCTTCTTTCAATGCTGCCAGCTCAAGATAAAAACATCCCCATCACCTTTTATCTCTGGCTCAGAAGCTGTTCCATTCATTTCCAGTCCATCCTGGCCACGACCATTCAGAACTGATTGTGCTGTTTTTCTATCATTCATGTTTTAAAAAGGAGTTTCATCTGTTTCCCATTAAAATTACAAATGAGATAGAGTCATCCTGTCTTCTACCAGTACAACATCTGGCCCAAACTGGTCTGTGCACTGCTTCACTGTAGCTAGGATGCTCAAGAGCCGCTGGTCCAGGGCATCCAGGTGAGGGTCAGACAGCACTGGTGAGATAGGGTCATGAGACATGGCAGTTTTTAAGGCAGACTTCAATACTCCGTTCTTCAGGTAGTTTAGCCTGTTCCAGGTGGAAACCCGGATGCTGGAAGAGAAAGAAATGAATGTCACGCCAGCGCACACAGGTCTTTCCAAGTTAAGGTCCCAAAACGTTTCCATAAAGCCAGCTTGCTGAGGGATCTGTTACAATGTGGTTATGCCTAAATAGACAGGAGCAAGTCACGTAATGAATGAGTCCCTCCCTGAATTCAGCTGCATTTATAACATAAGCAAGACCTAAAATGTTTGGTAGCAAATGAAAATAAAGGGATACTCATCTAATGTGATGCAAATCTCCTTCTGACAGCTCGTAAGGAAGCTCTGAGATGGTTAGATCTTGGAACATTCCAGGCAGAGCTGGCAGAAGGAACAGGGTGAATCTGGCTGCTAATCAAAGGCAACATTTGGAGACAGCACACCGCTACTCTAGACAGAACTTCACTGGCCAAGTATCAGTGACAGCTGAGAAAAGGATCATATGATTACTGTTCCATACAAAGTCAATGCTTTCTACTTTGCCGTTTCATCCCTCAGATTTGAATTGTTTTCTTCTAGGGAATCTTCTGAGGTTCCTTCCATCCCACTATTGTAACCTTTGTTTCAGCTGATGTCCTGACACCTGATGGTGTCCAAAAGTTGCAACACTGAGTCCCTGAGTATGAGGGGAAAGGTGGTAGCACCAGTGTTTTACGGTACTACTTATACTCAGGGGACTGACAGTTCCTGAGTCCTTTTTCAAATATATAGGGAGGATGAAGGCGGCACCGGGAAACGTGGGGCCCCTGCAAGATACGCTGGGCAATCTGGTGGTTGTGCCAGGGGAGAAAGCAGACCTCTTTAACCAATTCTTCACCTCTGTTTTCCTGTGCAGGGACCGGGACTTCCCCACCATGATGCAAGACAGACTCGAGGGGAATGCCTCTAGACCTCAGGTTGGGGAGGACCGGGTTAGAGAGCTTCTGGAGGGGCTGGACGTGTTCAAATCAGCGGGTCCAGATGCTCTCCACCCCAGGGTGTTGAGGGAACTAGCAGGGGTTATTGCAGGGCCCTTGGCACGGCTTTATGAGCGCTCGTGGTGCTCGGGCCAGGTGCCAGATGGTTGGAACATAGCCAATGTGGTCCCCATCTTCAAAAAAGGGAGGAGGGAGGACCCGGGCAACTACAGGCCTGTCAGTCTTACCTCAATCCTAGGGAAACTCTTTGAGAAGATCATCAAGGAGCACATCTGCGATGGGCCGGCTTCAGGGATGATGCTCAAGGGCAACCAGCACAGTTTCATTAGGGGCAGGTCATGTCAGACCAACCTGATTGCCTTTTATGATCAGGTCACAAAAGCATTGGATGCAGGTGTCGCCGTGGATGTAGTCTTTCTGGACTTCAGCAAGGCCTTTGACACCGTCTCCCACCCCATCCTCATTAAAAAACTAGGCGACTGTGGCATTGATGCCTACACAGTCAGATGGATTGCAGATTGGCTCAAGGGTTGTACTCAGAGGGTGGTGGTGGACGGGTCATATTCAACCTGGGGGGAAGTGGGCAGCGGAGTCCCCCAGGGCTCGGTCCTTGGGCCCGCGCTGTTCAATTTCTTTATCAGCGATTTGGACGATGGGGTGAAAAGCAACCTGTTTAAATTTGCTGATGATACCAAAATTTGGGGTGAGGTGAGCACGCTAGTAGGGAGGGAAAGACTGCAGCAAGACCTGGATAAGTTGCAGGGGTGGGCTAACAAAAACAGGATGCGTTTCAATACTGATAAGTGCAGGGTGCTGCACTTGGGCAGTAGTAACCAGCAGCACACTTATAAGTTGGGAAACTCCCTTCTTGAGAGCACAGAGGCAGAAAGGGATCTTGGAGTCATTGTTGACTCCAAGATGAACATGGGCTGACAAGGTGAGGTCACGGTTGGCAGGGCTAAGCGGACCTTGTGCACGCACAGATGCATCATGAGCAGGACCAAGGAGGCAATCCTCCCTCTGTATGCGACACTGGTCAGGCTGCAGCTGGAGTACTGCATCCAGTTCTGTGCGCCCCACTTCAGAAGGGATGTGGACAACATGGAGAGGGTCCAGAGGAGGGCCACCCGCATGATCTGGGGACAACAGGGAAGACCCTACAATGAGAGACTGCGGGACCTGAACCTGTTCAGTCTTCACAAGAGAAGGCTGAGGGGGGACCTGGTGAGCATCTATAAACTCACTAGGGGGGACCAGAAGGGTTTGGGAGAGACCTTGTTTCCCCTAGTGCCCCCTGGCATAACAAGGAATAACGGCCACAAGTTGTTGGAGAGTAGGTTTAGATTAGACATCCGTAAGAACTACTTCACAATTAGGACAGCTAAGATCTGGAATCAACTTCCAAGGGAAGTGGTGCTGGCTCCTACCCTGGGGGTCTTTAAGAAGAGGCTTGATGCCTACCTGGCTGGAGTCATTTAAGCCCAGTTTTATTCCTGCCCAGGGTGGGGGTTGGACTTGAAGATCTACAAGGTCCCTTCCAACCCTACTTCTATGATTCCATAATAAATGCTAGATTTTAGCACATGTACATGGCTCCTGTGTAACATTCTGTCTGATGGCTTGTCTGTCTAGAGCTGTTTTAGACTGGTCAGAGGAAAGGGTGATCAGAAGAGCTGGGAAGTGCAAGGAAGGATGTGGAATTTCCTCTGAACCTCTCTTCTAGGCATGTGTTTGGAGGAGCTCAGGATAAAAGAGAGAGACTCTGAAGGCCCCACACAAAACAAGAAATAAAAATATTAAGTAACTATGGAAAATGAGGGAAGTTTTAAGTGACTTATCAAAAAAGGCTTCAATTCATTTCATACTGCTACTGAAATCTCAGTTTTTGACACACTTCAGTGTGCTACCCAAACTGGTGGGCTTACACAAGAGCTTAGGTCAAGTACTGTACATATGTCTCTGCTTACAGTACACAGGGACTGAGCTCCTGACTTCCACAGGCTCTGAAGAATTTGGGAGACAAACTGGATTCCTGAAAAGCCATGCAAGGTACCCCGCTGGACTGGCCTATTTTGAAAGCATTTTTCATTTTTCAGGCTGTTTTGTCTCAAAGCAGCATGTTCAGCAAATGAATGCCTCTCTTCCCCTTCTCAAAGCATCCCTGCATCTCCGTCACTATATGAACCAGGTATGGCTGCTGTGGTCACTTGATGCACAAATGGTATATTAGGAGTTCTGCAAAATGTGACTGTGGCAATCCTGATCAAACTATGGACCACATAATAACACTCTGCCCTCTATACAAATTTGACAGTGACATTGCAGAGATATATTCCCTTTCCTCAAGAGCATTAGACTGGTTAACTAACCTTAAATTGAACTTATAACTGTTGCTCCAAGGCAGCCATATGAAAGAAGACAACTGAACAGAACCTTCAAAGCAAACAAAGGCCTGCCCAATCCAGTAAAGGAGGGGCTACTCAACCCAGTACACAAAAATAAAAAAAGGGTGCAAGGGGATGGTGGGGGGGAGAGGGAGAGAGGAGGAGGAGGAATGCAAGTTGCAGGGCCAAAGTGATCAACAGCTCTGAAACCTGATTTCTTCTACAAGTCTATAGAGCAAGCACCACAAACAGCAGCAGTATAACCTTGCACAAACAGTCCTGCAGTTGTACCTTCTGAACCATGCTGAGGTGCATCTAGGGATGCAGGTGGGTTAGTTGCCATGAATCTCCAGTACTCAGCTTCTGTCAGTCAGAACTCCAAGTGCAATGCAACCATTTCTCCAGAAGGAGCCAGACAGTGACCATCTCATTTCTCAAAAGCCACTGGACAGCTGCAGATAGAGGCTACTAGTCGTCACTGAGTTAGAACAGATTTAAACCAGTGACCTAAAAATGAAAGACTCCATTTCCCACAATCAGTCTGCCCAATCCTCCATACTCTTCACTTTGATTTACTGCTTTAATAAATGTGTGTTTCTTAGTTTCCTGAGCACTCTTGTAATAAACGCATAAAAAGAGCATCTAAGAGAGGTGCATAAATTCGGTGTATAAAATGCAAGTCTCCAGGTTGCCAGAAAACTTAACTGCTATGAATTTCATTGCACCCCTGATTTGACAGTTTCAGAAAAGTACAACCTGTGCTTTACTTACATGCAGCACTGATAAAGAGGAGCTAAGATACTTCTTTCATCCAGGGACGGGTTTCCAAAACTGAAAGAAAAAAAAAAAAAAAATCAGAAGCAAATGAACACTCAGCACCCTTTTAAACCGCACCAGGTTTCATAAGGAATTTGAAATCAATACCAGACAATTTCATGCTCCAACAGCTCAAATCATTTAAATTAAAATACAACCAAACCATGACCAATTTCATATGCAATTACCAACAGTCCATACTAATGCGCTTGACAAACAGCAACAGTCACTTCAGCTTATCTAGTCCCTTACTCTGCCCAGGCATTTCACAAACACATTGTAAAGGACTTTAATAATATAAGCCCTTGCTGCTGCTAAGAAGGGGAGAAAAGTGAGTTATGAATCTGGCTTAAGAGAGAAAAAGTATCATCCCCCTGACACTGCTAGACAGGGAATGAAGGAAGGAACAGCCAACTGACACATTCAGATGCTACAGCTGGCCAGTCTTAGGCCAACAGTCTGGCATACAAGAAGGTGACCAAGTTCAGCCCATTACGATCACTCAACTGGAGAACTGCCAAAAGGACTCCATAGCATATTTCAGGTCTCATCTAAAAAGATGCCACAGAAACTTTGACCAAAGTTTTTTTTTTTCCCTGTCATACATTAATTTTAAATGTTCCTAACAGAAGGCCTGGTGTTAAATAAGGTCCATTTACTAAAAAAAGCCTGAAGCTATTCTGCTCAGTCGTCTGAGTTACTAATAAACATGTGTCTTAAAAAGCTGGAGTATATTTTTCTATTCTCTATTCATTAAGGCAACTTAAAAGGCTTTATACAAACTGTAAAAACCCACTTCCAGGATTGGGAAGCCCCAAAAGGAAATTATTTTAGAAGGTTATGAGCATATGAACATAGATAACTATAATGAATACACAGACATAATAACTATCACATTCATTCCCCAGTGCTTAACATATAATTCCCCCAACTTCTCCATCGCCAAGACATTTTAAAAATCCGACATTTTTGCAGGATGCACTCAAAGTAATCTGAAAGCACCAGTACTTAAATGTTCCCAGTGCAGAACATGTTCCTGCTGACATTTTGGAGTGTTATTGAAGAGCCTGATGTATAGAGACAAGGATGAGTATTAAACTGAGCCTTGCTTATTTCACACAGATTAGAGATACGGACAGCACATGGACAGACCAGGGCATCCAAAAGGAAGAAAGGTAAAACAATAATATTAAAGGAGATGGAAGTTTTCAAGCTATTTAAAAGATCTGTCCAGATGATGGAAAAGGGTGCATTTTAAAAACAAGCTAGCTACTACAATTAGAAACACTCTTTGGCTCCAAAGTTGTACACTAAATTCCTAATTAAGACAGAGCAACTCATATTTTAAACACATTAGCTGGTAAGGACTGACCCTAAGAGCAGCATTCCCTCTAAGCTGCATGGTGTGTGCGGCCACGCAGGCACGCCTGGCAGCACAGCATAAGCGTGCCCGTGCGGCTGTGCACGCCATGCAGCTTAGAGGGAATGCTGCCTAAAAGGGTACCTAATGACAACAGCTGTCAGCTACCGTGCCATTTTTTATTTATTTATTTTACATATCTACATTCTAGAGCAGGCAAACCCCAAATGTAGGCACAGTCTAGAAGAGAAGCTTTAGTCATAGAACCCCAAACACAATTTTACATTAAGCCTACACTGAGTGTAAAAGGGTGCTCCACTCTTATTGTCTGATTCATAAAAGGATACTGCATCGTCCTCTAGACAGAATCTAAAAGTACAGAACCTCATTACTCGAAAGAAGTTAAGAGTCTTTACAGGGCACTAGTAGAAACTGTCACAAGAGCATACAAAGTGCCAGCACTGGAGAACACATCACAAAGATCAAGACAAGCTTTAAAAAAATTCATCTTCAAGAATTATTTGTGAAATACCGCATTTCAAGCCTTTAGTGGCTTACCCAAATATCTATCCAGATAAATTAAAACTGCCTATCTACAAATGTCAAGGTCACTGAGCACCCATGTTATTTGAAAGGACTTGCTATATGGAATATTGACAAGAGTTTTAGCTTGGAGGCAGTGTAATGGACAACTATGGGAAATGCAGAATGTAGCACGGATAACTTTATCATCAGTGGCCAGAAGCACTAACATTACGTCCACCTTTTGGCATTATCCAGAAGAATGAGCATACTGGCCCCTTCATCATCTTGGAAGCTTTCATAGTGATGTCGGTCAGCATTCCCAATCAAATAGTCAAAGATGGAAGTGTCAATGATGTCGAGGAGGCGGGGGCCAGCATCATAGGGTGAGGTCTTCTTCACAGCATCGCAGTAGCTTTCATCATACTCCCACCTGAAGGCAGACAAAGAATCAAAGTCAAAGCCATATCAAAAAAAGATGACAGCTAGAGGCTCTGGCAGAACAGCCCAGGAAGACTCACTCTTGTACTTCAATGAACCACGTTTGTTTGTTTTTTTTAATATTTTTCTTTTCACGTACGAGTCTTGAGCACAGTCAGGTTGACATAAAGGGATTTTAACAGTGACCATTACTTAAACAAAGAAAAACAGGGCTTGCTTAACATAACTAACACATTGAAACCTTAGTGAACACAAGGTGAGCTGTAGTTTTAACACATTAACTATAGACCTGTTCTTGGTAAAACCAGAGCCAGTTATCTTCTCCCACAATGCTCATTTATTCTTCCTGTTCATTATACAGTACTTGAGGTCACAACACTGAATTCCCAAACAACAGACTGCAGAACTCTCACCTTGACTTGTCTTTCTAAATGCTGCCTCAGACCAAGCTCCTTGAGTGCACTGTCTAATTCTATTCTTGATTTGTTTTCCCCTTTTCAACAGCTCTCTATCCATCTTTCTTCTCTAATGAAAATGGCCTCAGAAGGTCACTAATGACCTCCACCTCACCAAACATAAAGTCCTCTTTTATTTACTCATTCTTCTTTAGTCCAGAACTGCCTTGGCACAATGGATTATCCCCTTTGTCCTTGAAAGCTGCTCCCTTGCTGCATTCCCATAGTACTATTTATCCTCCATCTCCAACTGCTCCTTCAGAATCTCCCACCCTCTTCTCCACAGGCAAACTCTCGGGGCTCTCTCTTTTCTGCTCTTCATGTGTTCAGGATTTAGGTTTGGGATACTCTGATTGTTTCTTCCTGCAGCACACACAAGAGAGGCTCTCATGGGACACTTGCTTTCTCAATACTTAAACTCCAATCAGCTTACTTCTAAAGACAGTTCATTCCTTGTACCCCCATGAAGAGTTTCACAGATTAGTCTGAAAAATTAACCCATCCACAGCTCCAGCTACAACCTTCAGGGCGATCAACTAAAAGAGATTCTTCTTCACTCTCTGCCCCGACAATACATCCTCAACAACCTACCACTGTTTCAACCTCCATATAAAAAAAAAATTTCCATCCAAAATGTTTTCCTCTCCCTTCACTATCAGAGTCGACTATTCCTCATTCTTCTTTCTTACTACTATTTGCAAGCTGGATGACATATCTGCAACTCTCCATGACAAGGTTCCCATTAGGTCTTGTCGTTCCTTCCTCTAAGTCTCTCAAAGCCATTCTTTCTTTCCATCAAAACTGCTGAAATCCTGCATTGTGCCATGGTCACCTGTGACCTTTCCTAAGTAAGAAGTACTTGTCCTATAACCGTTTCCATCCAAGGATTTCAATGTGCTTCACAAAACACCAGTTCTCTCTGAAATGCCTCAGACCCTCTGCAAACTGGGAATACAGATCAAGGAAATGTCAACTGCATAGGTTAGCTGACCTGCCCTGCCCCTACTCCTTAGTTGCCAAAAGTCACGTAATGGACTAGCAGCAGAGACAGAATTAAAATGTAGCTGTTCTGACTGTCTCAATAGCCATGCTATCTCCAAAGGACTGAAGTAAATTGTACTTGGGCCTTCTTGTATCTAACTCTTTTTCTAGTTATCCCAAGAACCATGACCAAAGTCTCTCATTGCTCTGAATATATCCCATATGCCATGTCCTCAAAACCTCTCACTTGCATCTTCTCTTCTTCCTTCATCATAGCTAAGCTCCACCTCCTTATATTCAATATACTGCATAAATACACAGCTCCTACACCTTATTTTATATTGCTTCCTATGCTGCATAGACCCCCAATATGTTACCTACCCCAATCTCACAAGTGCTCCTTTTATCTTTTTCACATGTTTTAATTAATGCTTTTCAGGCCAGTGCTTAATCTTTTTGGAACAGCTTCCCCTTTCCTATCCACCAAATTACCATCTTTTTCTTCCTCTCATTTTTCATGCAGGCTTCCAATGCTGACTCTGTCTCCAACACCATCTGCTCCTCCATTTATTTCCAATCTTACATGGTATTAGAGAATCATATTGTGACTCCTAAGGTCAGAGATCTCATCTATTACAAGACTGAAAAAGGCTACATTTTCTAATGGCACTATAGAAATAATATTAAGGAGGATTACTCTGGACAAGGCATAAGCAGCAGGATTGGGAGGATAAACTCGTACAGAAATATCTTCCATAATTAGCACCAGCAGGAAGCAGATTTCATAACATATGGAATGTATATTGATTTCTGCCCCTGCTCCCTCAGTTAGGTTTGCACAGGTTGAAAGCAGCCATATAGTTAAATAAAAGGAAAAAGTTCTAACATACTTTGACCCCATTTACGTAAACTATGTTATAATATCAAGATTATCATGATAGAATAGGTAGTAAAATACACTGTGCAGACAGCCTCTTTAAGATATGAAATGGCTTCTTAGAGAAAAAAAGAAGAAAGAGAAAGAAAAGCTTTCTGTTCTTTCCAGACTAACAAAGATTAGATGATTCTGGCCTTGATTTAGTTCAGAACTTAAATCTGTGTTGAACTCCTTGTGGCTTCCAACTTTAAAAAGGGGACACCAACTTTCTGCTGAACGAGACCCTTTCAGAAGCCAAAGAGTAGGTATTTAACATTTTAAAACAGATTAAACCATGAGGCCAGATTCTGTGAATAATCAGATTATCAGAAATGAATGGGAACAACTTAATTCAGGGATTGAGAATACCCTGCTGATCACTTATCCAAGACCAGCACTTGGAAAAGTTTATGGGTCTTGGCAAAACATTTACCCCAAACAGTTGCTGAGGTACTGTAAACTCTTGTGACCATACTCATTTCTTTGTCTAACCATATTGTTCTGGCATGAAGACAGGGTCTATATATTGCTGGTAATCAGCTAATAAAAAGAACTTCTTAGTTATAAATTCTTTAAGGTGAGATATAATGTGACGTAAACACACAGGAATTTGTTCTTGAAAAAAAAAAAAAAAAAAGGAATTATGTCTCTAAGAAGATGCATGAAATCTCCCAGAAATACACCGAAACCATTCTGGAATGAAAACTCCAAAAAAAAAAGCTCAAAAAGAAAACAAGCGCAGAAAAACAGAAACATGCAACAAAATCCATGAAAATTAGGCATGATGGGTAAGAGTTCAGGTGTCACATTACGTTATTATTATCTTTATTAGCTTTGTACTAAACTTATGGTAGACACAGTGACAAAGCACCAGCAGCATGGATCTAACACTGCCCAGTAATCTCAGTGATGTGGCCGAGTTGCTCAGAAACCTCACTTGACTTGTGGGATAAATTACCTTCTAGGCAGGCAGTGGCATGCTAACCATTCCAGGATGCCCTAAGGACTTCTCCCTCACTAGCCCAAATTAAAAGATGTCCTATCAGGTCTTCATTTGTAGCACCAGTTCAAAAAATCTGGCTGCAACTCTCTTTGGACCATGTGAATATTTTAATCGGCTAGTCACAGCTAAACACTGCAAAGACAATCTGACTGGGAACTGCTACATTACAGGGTTATGGGGTGCAGGTACCTGGCCAGTTTTCCTTCACGATAAGTTCTGCCCCAAGGGTGCCGGTGCTTCTGAAGAGGCCAGACATCAGGTAGCCACAGAGTGACTGATCCCTCCATGATGTCCCCCTCTGCACACGCTGGTTCTGTTTCCCGACAATAGTAACACTTCCCATAGAAACAAGTGTTATTACCTAAAAAAAAAAAAAACCCCAAAAAAGCAACACACAATGACAAGAATACAAATAAATCTATGGTAGCATCCAGTCATGGCAGAATCATGAGAGATTTCTGCGAAGTCCTCACACAGGGGTTCGCTACACTTGCTCTCCATAAAGAGGGAAACAAAACTTTTCCCTGTCTCTTTGAAGGGAGCACCACCTGGAGATAAAACCAAGAAAAATATACTCATCTTTTAAGGTATGAAAAGCTCTGCATGGATACAGGAACTTTTTCTATGATTGAATATATTATAATACATACAAATACATACACAAATTATATCATAGCACCACTGGATGAATAATTAGTCACACAGGCAACCTCAATTCTTGCAATTTCTAACTTCCAAGTGTTTTGCTTTGCAATCTTAATATTGTTCTTTTAAAGCTTGTGTGTGCACACATGTGTTTTCCTAATATTGTAGAACAGCAAACCAAAAGCCCTCCAGAAGTGCCATCATGTGGCATTACGCTGTCCAGCTGCAAGGATCATTAATAGAGGAAAACCTTTAGATCTACCACACAGACCTCTGCTGCTTTAGCTGAGAGATTAAGTGAAGGCAATAATGGGCTAGCATCTGTGTGGCCCTACAGTACAAGGATGGATGGACACCTTGCAAGAGGCTTTCACGGATATTTACTGACAGCAGATGAAGATTGGAACTCCGCAGTCTTTGGCTACTTTCCAGACCCTGGAGAGAAATATGCTTTCTAATGAAGGGGTCAGAAACCTATGGCCCATGGGCTGGCCCCAGCTCACAACGGTGGGATCCAGTTCACAAAGGAGTTTAGATCCAGCCCAGAGTAGCACAGGGAGGCAGCATGCAGCTCTGCTAGCCATCTGTCCTTTCTGCAGTCCTCTTTATTGCTCTCCTTTGCCTGTACTTATTCTTGCTGCTGAGAGGCCAGGGATCAGCAGTGAGGATAAGTGCAGGCAGCTTGGACTCTGGAAGGGGATACCAGGAAAGGTGGGGGGAGGGAGATTTCTGGCCCTCAGCAGGGGGCCAGGTTGCAAGCTCCAGCCTATGGTAGCAAAAGATGGCTGATCTCTGTTCTAACGGACATAAGCTTTTACCTGCTCTTCACCAAAATTAACTCCTTCGGCTCTGCCTCTATGACCTGCAGTCTAGCCCCTTGCCTACGTAGCTTCAGGTTTCAGCCTCCTACTTTTTTGTGCAATCATTTCCCTTTCCCAGAATTCAGTGTCCACCCTACCCTAGGCCTTGTTTCATGTCTTGACAGGCTTCTAGTCCTCTCTGCTCCCCACCACTCCCCAGCCTTAAGATCCTTATCCAACTTCCTCCCACCCTCTTTGTTCCACTCTCTTTACCCAGGCAATCCAGTACTATCCCCTACTCCTGGCTCCTTATCAGATCTCTCTCTCTCTCCCTGATTCTGTCCCAGGCTACTCTGAGGTCTGACTAGATGATTTATCATCATTTCTGACCTTAAAAAAAATCATGAATGCTCCAACCTTTCCCCTCTCTCCCCAAGGCTGTTGTCAGTCCCTTCCAATTTCCTACCTGATTCTCTCTCCACCCACACAACCAGATTTCAGTCCTAGGAATGTGTCCACCCCTCCATCTTCCCTGCCTGCTCCTTCTTCAAATTAGCTCTCCATTACACTTCCCCAAGCTAGGTCTGGCTCCCATTCTTATTTAGGCAGCTTTCGCTTTCCCACACTACCTAGATGTCAGTAAAGTGATCTCTGGGAGCACAACAGAGACAGGTTCTCTGCTCCATGTTCAGCTGCCTGGCCCTGACAAAGAGCTGTAGCAGCCCAGAGCTACCAAAGCAGGGCAAATCCTGCTCAACCCCAAAGTGCAACTTGCCTAGCAGAGATGGGATCTTCAGGTGTTATCACTGTGTAAGTGCCATCCGCTAATCCGTATGGAGCATGTGTGAACTGTGATATTTAAAAAGCTTGGTCAAAAGACTTGGTTAAATTTGAATGTTGATAAACAACAACCTCCAGGCATGTTTTTTAACACAAATATAACTCTTCATAACTGGACTGAAATAAGTAATAACTAAAGCACAAAGCATTTTCTGAGGCATAACTACCATCTGGAAATAGTCTGCCTTAAATGACTAAGCCCAGTGAACTGCTATGAACTAAATACTGAAAATAGTTCTAATTATGATCACCTCAGCCTATTTTATGTACAGTGTTTCAATGCTTCGCACACTGTGGTTTTATGCAAACATCATCCATTACCATTTGGTGTGTCAGCCAAATCTTTCCAGCTGTCCATTCATGTTTACCATAGACCTAAAGAATAATTCCATTTTTTTGCTTCAGACATTAGGGAGAAAATATTTATTCAAATAATTCCAACAGCCATACAACAGGCATAAAAAGGTAAAGGAAAATTAGTTTTTGTAAAAAAAACAAAAAACAAAAAACCAAAAAAAAAACCAACCCAACCCTGCCAAGTAAGTTTATGCAAGTGTCAAAATCCTTCCAATGACACGAAGCAGCTTATTACATCCCTATAGTATAGTTAACTGATCCACAACTATGCCAAATTCTCATAGCTCTTTTTATTGGTTGGCTTAACATGTTGTTGTTTGTTTGGTTTGTTTTTTTTGTTGGGGGGGGAGGGGAGTACTTCACAAATGATATAATCCACTTACCCAGTGTCAAGAAAGTACTTAGCAGCTGCTCTGTGGCAATGGGTTTGATCTCTGTACGGAGATTCACAAACCGGCCAACCACCAGCGGAGCTCGTCGGAACCCCAGAATTCTGTTTTTAGGAAAGAGATGGCAAGACATGGGAATCTGTGACATGGACACATGCTAAATCCCCCAAACGCAGTTTTCAGACCAGTGAGCCAACTCACAGATTTCATAGTTTCATAGTTTTCATAGTTGGTAGGATCGGAAGGGACCTGAGCAGATCATCAAGTCCGACCCCCTGCCATGGCATCAATAAGATGATCACCTATTCTATAATAGGTGATCAAGTTGGAGCCCCACCCCTCCGTTTCTCATTTCTTCCAAGACAGACAGGAGACTTTTCTTTGGCAAACAGCTGAATAAATGAGAGTCCCTTTACAGGCCATCAGAGACACTCCTTTATTGGCCAGAATAGTCATGACAGAGCAACATGAGATATACCTTTGCTGCAAGGGCAGAATATGCTGTTTTTGCAGTACTAAACACAGGAAATGAGACCTTGCATCAGAACATGGATGTCACTTCTTGTGTAGCAATGCAAAGTAGTAACTATAAGGTTTTGCTCTGTTCACAGCAAGAGAGTTTCTGGGGATTACTAAAAACTCTCCAATTAATTCATATGTTGAAACCCCAATTCAATTACACTTGAAAGTGGACAATGTAATTTGAAAAATCCTGCTGTGTCTGGAAAATACAAAGCCATTTGTAAACACAGAAAAAGATGGGAAGGATCATCTTATGTTTAATACAATAAATATCATCATTTAGGAGACATGGATTCCATTCTTGCGTCTGTCACAGGCTTGCTTCATGGCAACAGGCAACTTGGGCACTTAAGGCATTTATACACATATTTTTTGTCCCACAATGTGCCAGAGATCTGCTGCTTCAGAGAAGACTTGATTAATTGAATCTGTTCCGCATGTGAGCCGAGGCAAACTACGCTGTGCCATATGCAGCTGTGTAAGTGGTGAAATGCGTGTCAGTACGCAGAAAACGGTGGCGGTGAACTTCTGATGCGCTTTTATTCAAAAGTGCGCCACCACCAGTTTCTCAGTGCTGATGTGCATTTCACCGCTTATACAACTGCAAGCATTGCAGCACTTACACATGTGTAAAAATGCCCCTTGAATGGGATTTTTAATAGTGCTTAAGTAAGTTCAGCATGCAAGTATCAATGCAATATGTGTACTTATAACTCAGGCACCTGAAAATTGCACCCTATTCCAAAAACAGAAAATGCCTATTGTACACAGAGGTAGCGAGGTTTATTTGATACCTGCCAAGTGTTTTCAGATCTTCAACTAAAAACGAAGATTGCAAAGGAGTATTTAAAAACAGGCATAGCAGAACACAAGTCTCAGCAAATTATGTATAACATTCAGAACAGAAAAAAGGTCGTGTGTGGCCACATGCACAATTATTTAAGCTACAGAAGCAAAGGTGGTAGCTACATGAAAACAGGCACAGAAATGAGTCTATATGAAATAGTTGTCCCTTAATGGATCAGAATCTATGTTAAAGAGGAACACCTAATTGAGATGGAGAGTGGGGATGTCAATGTATGCCTCGGGCTTAAGAGAATACTACATAGAGTCAAATTCAAGAGGTTAATTTCACAACCATTAGGACAAAAACTGACTTTAGAAAAAAAACTTTGAATTTTTCAGAATCTGGAGTTACCAGAGGAAGTCAGAGAAAAAAGAAAATCGGGTGATACTAATACACCCTCTACTTTTGATACTCCTGCTCTAAAGAAATCCCCTTCAGAGATCCAAGCACAACAATTTTGGGCTAAAAACTTAACATCAGTTTCTCCAACTAAAGGTTGACACAGAATCTGCAATGGTTGTAAATTAGAAGGAAAATGAAACTCAAAGTCTGGGGATCTCCAATGACAGAAAATGGGATTGGAGTGATATCTCTTACAAGCAAATGTAATTGCATTTAGGCTCTGTGGCCGCCAGTAAGGGGTGCTCCTGCATTAAGCCACCCACCTCACTGCGCCCAACCACCTTCCAGGCTCTGAATGCCTCCCTGGGGGTGCCTCATGTCTGGCCAACCCCCTTCCTGGAGCACAACTGCTAGCCTGGGGTAAAAACTGCCACCACCCAGGGCTGGGCTTGATTCTGGCTTTGTGTCCCCTGTGTAACACAGACCTAGTAGCCCTTGAGGGTACTTGACTCACTTCAAGCACTTGGGGGTGCTTCCCTCAGTCAGAAGCACAAGTAGTGGTCTCCCTTAATCATCCGAACCAAGGGGACCCCAAGGCATAATCTAGACCCACTCTCATTAAGTCTCCCATGCTAGGTACAAAGGAGAACTTTATTAGTTACAAGGGGTAGGGTTGGAATAGAGTACAGGGTACAGCAACATCAGAGAAATCCCATAGAGCAAACTGGCATGGCTGGGTAGCCTCTGATCACGCATCTGAGTTATTGCAAGCTATATATCTAGTTAGATCTCAGGTAGCTTACTCACAAGTATCATCCAGAGGCAGGTGGAGATTCCCACTGGAGGCAGGCAGTTCCTTGATCATGAGTTTTAAGAGAGAGAGCAAGTTTCAGATGGTACAGCTCTTCTCTCTCTCTCTGAGTCCTCCTCATGGCTGCTGCCCCCTCCTCCTGGGCAGTCCTTAACTTATATAGCCCTTATGACCTCATTTACCTGGCCCAATGGAGGCCAGCACCTATTGGCTGTCAGCCAAACAATTTCAAATGCATCACTAGTTGCTGGGCAGACTGGCAGTTCCTAACTCCCCAGGGAGCCCAAGCCCCTCTCCCAGGTATGTGCTGCCTGTCACGTAGGCAGAGGGAACAGGTTTTCCCCCTCCTTCAGGATTGTATCCAGCTCAGGTTACCTAAAGAGATAGGGTAGGGTGTGTATCCTCTGCTGGGCCCATCCTAACCAAACTGTCACAGAGCAGAGTTTTTGGGGAGAAACAGAGGTGGCCTTCTGCCACAGGCTCATCCTATTGCTAAACAGCAAGAAGGAAAAATACATGGTTGTGAAGATACACAGCTGTTAAGGGTGTGCAAAGCAGACCCTATTCCATTTGGATTCGGCCTGAATCAGGAACAGTGATTCAATTCATTGATTTGGATCACTGTCCCCGATTCGATTCAGCCGAAGTTGAATCTGAAGATTCTATGCTGATTTGGAGAATCAGCGATTTGGACATAGACACAGCTTTGAAAGATTTTTCTACGTTCCTTGAGGTAGCAGGCATAGTTCATGATCGCTGCGATGCTAGGGTGCATGGATAGTCCCACAGGAATGCAGGGGGGCCTACAAGTGCTCGCTGGTGAACCTGGAAGTGTACCGGAAGTATTTCCGGTCCACTTCAAGAGGGAGCACACTGGGGGCACCCCCTGCACCACCTCTGGCTCAGCCAAAGGGAACCCTGGGTGCCCCCCCCCCCGACCTAGGAGGCACCAGTCACTGAGCTGGGGGAGGATGTGGGGGGGCTCTGGTTCACTTCTGGGTCTGCTGCCAAGTGTGCTGGGGACTCCACCCCCACGCTTCTGTGGGACACCCCATGTGCCCTAGCATCACAGCACTCACAAGCCCCTGCTACCTACAGGTATGTAGAAAAAACATTTAAAAGCTGTCTCTATGTCCACATTTCCTAATCTTTCCAAATTGATTTGGAGGGTTCCGATTCAATTCAGAGAGATTAAAGGGTCCTCTGGTTCAATCTGGATTCAGCAATTCGGCCACTGAATCATGCTGAATCTCCGCTGAATAGAATCAGGGACCGAAGCTACCCACCCTGGTAGCCAGACTCCACTTTTTTTATCCTACTGACTGTGAAAGAGGAAATGAACCTGGCATAAGTTCTGGAACAAAACAGTCTGGCAGCATATTGCTTTTGTACAAGGGATAATACAGGAATAGATAAAGAAATTGTCATTAATAAACCAGAATGCTGCCTCCAAAAGTGTACAGCATCCACCCAAAACAGGGAGACATCATCATCCAGAGCAAACACAAATACAAGTAACATGTAGACAGAGGGCTGTCACTGGATATTTCCTTGGGATAGGGATACAGCTCTTAGAAAGACAGGAGAAAAACCAGAGAAGCAAGGAAGAGAAGGTAGCCAAGAACGACAAAACAGTCACAAAAGTACTTGCATCATGGGCCTGTGAAAATGCTAAGAAAGTGGGGCTAGAAAGGGGCATGGAACTGAAAGCAAATAAAATACTTTCTGCTATCCAATTCTCCCATGTTCAGAGGGACAAGATCTGTACATTCTCTGTAAATAAACTGGACTATATCAAATATATCCGGTTTCCTCCTAAATTTCCCCTCATTACCCACAAGCCTCAAATTTTGGCTCATCACTCAGGTAAAAAAGTGCAATAGCATATCTGTATGCTATTGCTATCTAAGCATATGAATAGCTAATCCCTCTTCTAATCTTCCTTATTTTTATCTTAATGATATCCTATGCAGCAATGACTTCCACAGCTGATTTACATAATTGTACAATAAAAATCATTTTGAATACACCACCATTTATCGTCATTAAAATATACCTTGTTTTGGAATCAAGACAGCAGGAACAGAAGACACCAATTTACTTTCTTTAGACCATTCATTTCATATACTTTTATCATGACCTTCCTTACTCATCTTTCCCTGTATTTTCAATCATTTCACAGGAGTTTTCAATGCCCCTATACTTTTTGAGGCCCTTTTCTGAACCCGCTTTAACTGCATACCAGCCATTTGGGGGCAGAATGAAAATGACTGCATCCATGATATTCTAGATGAAACTGCACCACTGATTATGGCAATAGAATTATGATATTTTCTGGATTCTTCATCCCATTTCTTAAGCATTCTTTGATCTGTTTGCGTTTATGACTATTATGACTGCAGCTGCATCTCAAGCTGAGACTTTTATTGAGCTGTACACAGTGATACCCAGGTCCCTTTCCTGAGTGGATCCCATTAACTTAGAAGCTTGCAAAGTAGATGAATATTTTTCTTCCTCCAAAGTGCATTATTTTGCATTTACTGACACTAAACTTCACTTACATGGCACATTCCACTACCTTAGGTTACTCGAAAGCAGAAGTACCAAACTCACCCTGATTCTTGGACCAGAACCAGGCCCCAGTGCGCCTCCTGAGCCAGATCCATGGGTCTGGTGGTTCCGCAGTCCAGTGACAGGCCAGTGGGGGTCCAGCAGTGGCAGAGCCAAATTGTGACAGGCCAGGTGGCTGCAGAGTAACCAAGGGCTATGTCATACAGCCCTTGCTTGCTTTCCTGTCACAGATGCTGAATTCTACAGAAGGCCATACTCCTGCAGAGCCATACCTCCAACTTCTGGTAGGCTGCCAGATGAACTAACTCCCCAGGCCACATTTTTGACATCTCAGCTCTAGTGTTTCACAGATTTTGTGGGACTTAACTAATGTAAATAATTTTGTAATATCAGAAAATTAGGGGTGCACCAATAAAGATTTTCTTAGCCAATACCAATACCCAATTATTCACCAGGCCAATACTGATTCAATAACCAATTTACAGGAGCACAGTTGGACAGCATGGAGAGCAGCTCCCTGCATGTAAGTTTGTGGAGGGGAAGGGGCATCCAGGGGAGCAGAGAGAGGACCCCACAGTGAGGGAGGGAGTGGGACAGGGGCTGAGGACACTGCCCAGCCAGGGTGGTGAATGGGACCCTGGGGCTGGGATGGGGAGCAGGAGCCACAGGAGGCTTGTCCAGGGGATCAGTGTCCCAGTAATTAAAAATAACAGTGGGGGTGCTTGAACTAAAGCTCATCAAATAAGCTTTAGATCAAGTGCTGCCGCCACCATTTTTAAGCATGGGGATGCTTTTAGGAGCAAAGCCAAGTGGGGTGAGGGCAGAGGTGGGCTGCCTACTGGGGGCTTGGGGCTCTCTGCCTTGCTGCCTTTCCCCTGGAAGTCACATACTGGCCGTGCAGCCCCAGCCCATCTGGCAGCGGGAGGCATAACTCACTGCCCCCACTGCTGCTGGATAGGCAAGGGACATATGGCAAGCGCACGGCTCCTAGGGCAAAGGTTGCAGGACAGAGACTACAGTGGGCAGCCTGCCTCTGCCCTGCACATAAACTGGGGGGGGGGGGGGGGGGGGGCAAATCCCCCCCCCACCCCCCCTAGGGGTGTGGGGGGCGGGGGGGGGGGCCCCCCCCCCCCCCCCCAAAAAAGGGGGGGGGGGGGGGGGGGAAGGGCACATGCCCCCCCATGCCTCCCTTAGGGGTTGTGTGCAGCGGCAGGGAGCCAGCTCCCCACCCCCCAGATGAGCCACCTACATCTCTGCCCCACTCCCTGCCCTGGTCCTGGGGGCCCCATTCACTGCCTTGGCTGGGCAGTGCCTCTAGCCCCTGCCACTGCTCCCCTCCCTCACCATGGGGGCCTTGATCTGTGCCCCTTATGCCCCTGCCCCTCAACAGACTTACCTGTAGGGTGCTGCTCTCCATGCTGCCTGGCCATGTGTACGCTGTGGCTGCACACACGCACGCAGCATCCGGGAGCCCCGGCCAGAAGGCGTATTATATTTATTGGTAACGTTATCAGCTATACTGGCCAAAAAAAGCTGATAGCTTATAATGTAAATTTTTCTTTTATTAGTGCTGATCTGATATGCAACTGATACACTGGTTCACCTCTCAAAAAAATGCTGCTATTTCCCCACTTCTCTTTCTAAATTTTTGGGAAATATACTTTAAAAAAAATACAACAGTACAGAGATTAAAAATGGTTTATTTCTTCTCTTTGCCTGCTGACATGTTTAAAAAATTGAGTAAATTAATGTGACATTATTTCCTTTTTTAGAAACTGTGCTGGTTTGGAGAGGTGGGCAAAATATGGCCTGTGGGTCAGATCCAGCATGCCAAGGGTTTTTGTCTGGCCTGCAGCAAGTCCCTCAGTCCCATCCAACCCAGATGCAAGGGGCAGCCTGGGCCATAGTGTGTGCGATCAGTTCCATCGCCCCAGGCATTCAGCAAGGCAGGAGCAGTGTGGTGGCTAGACTTGTTTCTCAGCAGCTCCAGTGGCAGCAGCCCCCAAGCCATAGCACCCCCCATTGGGCCCTGTCCATGCAAGTCCTGGCCAGTCTCCATAGAGACTCTGGGATCACAGGGCCATGACCGTGGGGACTGGGGCTTGGGGCAGAGCCGCAATCTGCTCCCCACATGCCCCTGACCACGGAACCAGCACCCATCGCAGGGAAGTGTGGGGAGTAGATCACGGCTCTGCCCTGAGCCCCATCCCCATGTTGTCACGGCCCATGATCCCAGCCCTGGCCTGCCTGCCCATCCTGCTCCTGGATGCTGCTCCCCGCCTGCTCACAGCCCCATCCCATCCTATCCCATCCCATCTCATCCACCTAGCTGAGGATGGAACAGAGCCATTTAGGGACTTTTGGTGAGGTGTTGCAAGGGGCAGGGGGGGAAAGTAGGGACTTACCCAGGCTGTGACAGCTCACCAAAACTCCCTAAGTGGCCCTCAGGCCCCAATAACTGCTCACCCTTGCATGTTTTATAAGAATTTGTGGGATGTTGGATTAGCAGGTTGAAAGTGGTGTCTCAGAACACCTATCTGAAGAGGAAAGGGCCAAAAAACAAAACGAAAAAAAAGGAACAGTAAAATCAGTTAACCTAACAATTCCGTACCTGTCCAAGTGAAAGGCTGCTACCTCTGCGTTGTGTCTGTCATACCCAGCATATGGTTCTCCTTCTACCACATAGTCTCTGGCATATCTGTAAATGCAGTAAATGGTGAAGTAGAATGTTTTGTGCAGAATTCTTCTTAGTACCATAGTTCAAAGCCACACAAGGAGGGATCGTGTTGAAGTGTAACTGGCTTTAGGTCATACCTAAAATTATTTCTTGTAGGAGATGGAAATGAATTTAGTAAGGTGACAGAGTGTTAAATTATGATGAGGAGAAGATTGCTTAGGTAGCCAAAACTATTAACTCATTTTATTTGAATACAACCACATGCAAGGTCACTTCTATGAATCAAGGCAGCAGGCCAAACAGAGAATTTGGGAGGTGAGGGGGTGTCATGGAAATCCATGACTCAGAAAAAAGTTCTAAATTGACAGGTAACTCAACATAAGATCTCAATGTGCTATTGTGGCCAATAAATAGGCTTGGCAGGATTTGATTTTTGTTGATAAACAATGATTTCACCCCACACTCACAGACCAAAGAAAAATATTTATATCATTAATAATCAACATTTATAGAAAGGGGACATAACAGAAATGATGGCTGATGGAGTAGTGTGTGATCATGACAGGGGGAGCAGTCCTACAGCACCGTGCTGACTATAGTTTGGACTGCAACTCCCAGAAACTCCAGGGGACTGGGAACAAAGGAAGAAAAAGTAACAAAGTAGATGAGGGAGCTATGAGTGAGCAGAGCCAGGCGAGATGGCAGCTCTGCCACTCATCTGGCGGCAGTCCTACAGCATTTACATCTGTTGCAGCGGGCAGTTAAATTGCACTATAATAACAGTATACTATCATTAATAAATTGTCTGCCCCCCAAATCCCTAATTTTGTGCAAACCTGAAAGTTTAAATTGATAAAATCAAAATAAATGCTTAAAAATAAACATCGATATTATCCATCAAAATTATTCAAAAATAGAAATCAAATTCTGCCATGACTGCTAATAAATGACTAAAGCAATTCTTGTAGAGGAAACTTGATAATGGTTAGAAAATCCTAGAATCTAAATCTGTGCTAGATTCTTATCTCTTCTAGATTCTTCAATTTAGCAGAGAGGGGTATAACAGGATTGAATAGCTGGAAGCTAAAAACAAGCACTTTAAAATTAGAAATAAGGTACACTTGCTTTGATGGCAAAGATGATTAACCAGGGGTACAAGCTATCAATGAAGTGGTGAATTCTTCACCCCTTTTTAATATCTAGGTTAGGACAGGACAGCTCTCTGGGAGATGTGTTTTTGTCTCACACAAATCATTTGGATCAATACAGGGATCACAAGGTGAAATTTGATAACCTATGATACACAGGAAACCAGAATGTTTAGTTCCCTTCTAGATTTAAATTGTAAGTATCTGTGAAAAGTCCATGTTAATTAAAAAATATGAGAAACTCTGGTTTATTTACCATGGCAAGGGACATGAAAATAATAACAAACTATCCAGGAGTGGTCAGTTATCACTAATGTGGGTTGGGTCGAATTGGGACAGACTGGCACAGAATCAAAAAGCAGCGAATTATATCGTAGTGGTGAATTAACCAGTGTTTACAGGAATAACTCTAGAAAACAAGGACTATCTCCAAAAGTATGTCAAAGTATCCAGCTAAACTTGCTTAACACCGATACAGTGTCAGTTTTAGGGGACATAAGCAGCCCTTATAATCCTCAAGTCCAGTCAAATCGCTGGCATTTCTGCTAAAACTACCAAAAGGAATACTAATTAATGCCAGTTGTGATAGCATTTTCTGGGCTGCAGATCCTTACAAACTAGGGATTGAGGCTGGACCAGCAGTTCATTTAACATAAGGTACAGGTATGCATTGGTAGCAACTCTGGAATGAAAAATGACAATTTAGAGATGAAACCACTTAGATTATATGGCCTCTGAGCTGCATATCTATTGTGGGCTCTTGAAAGTACAGTTGCTTTGAAAGCTGCAGGTCTAAAATTGACTGCTATTGCATGATCTGCTCATAACTTTAGAATATGCACAATATAAAATCTTCTGCGAAAATTCATCTAGCAAAGATGGCAAATGGTGAGAATCCACTCTTCCCCAACCTTTAACTTTCTTATGAAGGTGACTTAACAATACAATACTGCAGGGGACAGAAGCTAGTCAAAGCAAAATCATCTAAAAGGCAGAAAGATCAGCTAAGCGGTTATATGGCTATCTCACATGGAAATGAAATTCCCTCCCAGAAGCGGGGTCATTGCAATAATGTTCATTATACCTTTGTTTTGCAGTATAAATAAGACTGAATACTCAAGGGTATTATACATGATTCCAAGACAGGCAAATTCAGTGCTCGCATGTAGAATATGAACCTACTCAATCTGCTAACACTGTGCCATAGGCACGGGCATCATTTTGAAAGACCCCAACAGTAGGAAACCTGGCAACCTGCTCTGAGGTTCACCATAGACAAGCATTTAAGATCTTCCAGCATTCTACAGAAGATGGTATAGATAAACCCATATGTCCTTGCCAAAAATTCCCTCTCCATCCTCTCTTCTCCCACATGCACTACATACCATGGCAATTTGTCCAGCATTCCTATAAACACTCCTGGTTGTTCATGCCCTTGATGTAGTACAGCCGCTTTGCCTACATGCACACAGACTTTCCATTACTGGAATGTAATTTAATGCTTGGTAAAATGCTTTATGGCATCCAGTTATATAAAAAGCTCTACGGAAATGCCATGTCTTTTTCCTGTATTTATGAGATGAGATGCCTGTGCAAGTGGTGGTACTACTGCTTCTGTGCAAAAGGTGAACACTGTTTCTGCACAGTCCAACCCCATGCTGCTGCTCCAAACCAGGCCTGGAAATGGATGTTAAAGAAAGAGTATTGAAACCTTCAGCTGTCCAGGGCAAATTTGCACTTGTTCTTACAGCAGGGCAATTTTCCTCCAATACACGGTAGTAGAAGTCTATACTGTGGCTGCCTGCCTCCACATCCCCTGGAGAAGGATGGATGTCTGTTCTATGATGCCAATATTTAAACTTGCATTGCCCTTTCCCACAATGAACACAATATCTCTTTTTCCTTGTACCCAGTTTGTTTAGGAAATCCAACACTTGCACAGGCCTCTTCTTGAGCTCTATGGTAAAACAGGAAAGTGTTCAAACAAGGCAGAAATAATGTTTTCTCATTGACAAATAGAGATGAACATAAAACAACTACATTAAAATGGTAACATCAGAGCCATCCAGATCTAGTTCAAAAGACAACATCAATCTCTTCTCCTTCACCCATCTAAACCAAGTCACCACTATGTACACATACCATGGCAACCAGCACCACTCAGCAACACTGGAAGAGACTCTTCAAGTCATTACCAGTACTTCAAATAGCCAGAAGACACTGTTCAGCAACCTAAGATCTGACCAACATACCCTAAGGACCAACCACATTGATTATGCCTCTGATCAAGAGAAAGGCCAGGTTTAAGGATCAAAGCTGTTTAGCTCAGATTCAGTTGACAGAGCATCTGAATATTACTAGACATCAGTCTGGCTCCATTCCAGCCTGGCAGCCCTAACACAAGCCCTTGTAATCCTAGAATGATTATCACCCACAATGTGTTTATACATAAATTCATGAATCAACAAGAGGAACAAAAAGCAAGCACGTTTATCCAATGCCTGATGGAAACATTTACCTCTTGGGTTTGAAAACCACTTTCTGTCCTCCTTCGAGTATCAGCAACGCTTTCAGCTGGGTCCCCTTGTATCCCACATCCGCTTTTATTATTTTCTTGGTAGCCATGGCATGCATAACAGCCCCCAGCTCCGGCGTCTCCTCAGGATACACTTCCCGGGGCACCACCCACTGAGCTGCAATCTCCCAAGGGGACTGCAGTGTATGGTCAAGCCGGGGGTCCAGTTCTACACGCAGGCTTGCCATCATGCGGTGAAAGGCACGCTGGTCCTCGCGGTTTGCAGCTGAGGTGTCCAAGTTGTCAATGAGGAATACCTTTGTGAAAATGAAGATGACAACAAGGATGGCCAGCAACACCACTCGCTGCTTCAGCTTCATGGTGACCTTCAGCCCTTCTCCCCTGACCCTCTCTTCCAAGGGCTGCAGAAAGTCTATTACAGATCAGGGTGAAGAGGGAGATGCTAGTTAATGAATTTCATTCCTAACTTTCACTCTGAGGGGTCTGTCATCACTGAAGCATCTTCTGGGACCCCTATAAATTAACAAAAAAGTTTAAGTTTCACAGGCTTATACCCTCAGGTACCATCAGCTCAAAATGGGTTAAAGATGCCACATTTGCAACCAACCCTAAGCCTTTCTGCCCATTTCTATGCTTCTGCAATCCCACTTTCCTTTTCTGTAAGCAATCACCCCTCATTCCTTTGTGAACAACCCACACAAAAAGGGGAAATGACTCATGCAGTGAACCAATGACTCTCCAGCAGTGCCTATAACTTGGTACCTGTAACTACAAGAAGTAAAACTTTTTGAGAAAAATGTAACTGAAGAAAATGCATCACTTTAAGAACAAAAGTGCCTTTTTTCTTTGTTTGTCATCATCAGAGTCTGTTTCAGCCCCCCCCTGCTTTCCTCTGCTGCCCCAAAAAAACAGGAACATGACCTCTCAATTTTCCTGTATCTAAGTTTCCCTTTGTGGTAGCTTACAGAAGCAACAGCTAAGAAAATCTACAGAGCAAAGAAATACTGGAGTGTAAACTACAGATTTACAAATTTCTCAAAGACACAGCAAAGTGAAAAAAAAATCATTCTCTTCAGAAACCTTAACCATGAGCAAGCTGTGTTGTACCACATCAATGTCTCCATACTTAAGCAAGACCCCAAGGGACATCTCCCTGTTCAGTGAGTCTCTGCTGATAAAAATTTATCAATTTAGACCTATCCAATGCATAGTTAATCTAATTTGGTTAAATTAAGTGGAGAAAAAACATTCATCCTTTATTAGTGGAACACAACCAGAAAGCAAAATGAAACTGACATCACATCACCACCACTTTAGGACAATTAAGAAGTTGGCAGACATTTCACACAGGTACATAAACACTTTTCTTGGTAACATCCGCAAACTATACAGTGAACAGTGGGATGACTGAAACGTAAGAGTCTGCTCACTTGTTCCAACAGGAAATAGGTTGACTAGCAGTTATTTACTCAAGACACTGAAAAAAAATGAAAGTGCACAAAGCTCAGTCACTTCTCTTCAATTGCCTGCTTGCTTAGACTTACATGGAATAAGCTGCTTCAGAAGATCTAAAAGTGTTCGTGAGCTGCCCCTCCAAGAATGATCTACATGTCTCTGTGATCTACCCCTCCAGGAATGATCTACGCGTCTCCATGACCTATCCCTCCAGGAATGAAGGTATTGGGGGCTGCCATGCACTTAATTTTTGTAGGGTGTATCCTTGGGCTTCTAGCTAGCCAACACTGCAGTCCTCAGTCCGGCACAGCCATGGCACATGGTATAAAACCCAATGGCAGGGGAAGGTAATTAAATGAGGGACAGGCAGCTGACCCACTTTTAACCTAAGAAAGTCACCTGTAGGAACAAGCAAGTTTGATAATCAGCCCCCAGATCTCTACATTCTGAAACTGATTCCTTTAAAACTGTATTCAGCTGACCAGCATGCAGTTTCAGGGCAGCACCCTCCAGTGAGACAGGAAAACGGCAATTTTAGCCCTACTGTTTTTAATTTGACTTTTTCTATCACTTTCATTTGCAGGTGACAGCTCGGTTCAGATCTGTTCCTTCCCAGTCACACATTTTGCTTCTCTTGACAGAACCTATTTGTGGATATAAGCACATAAAACTATGCCATCTTGAAGACAACTTCCATGCAATCAAAATATGAATAACAGGCTTAATGGCAACAGTCACTGTTCACAGCAAAAGAAAAAAACTCTAGGAAAGGAAAAGAATGAGAAAGAAAGTCAACTGTCAGAGCTGCTTCAAATTAGCACTGTACCCACCTTATGTAATGCATACCTGAGCTATCAGATAGAAAAAAAGGGCACTCACACTGATAGTGAAAGGAAATGAACCAGGGAATCTACATTCAATTTAAAACTGTCTCAGCTCAGTTGAACTAATACAGGGTGTCTCTGAGCAATATGCCAACTTGCCTGACACAATCACTGCAGACAATGGGAATCTGACATACAACTGGCAAAGGCTCATGTAGGCAGAGTGCCTATACCCCTGCGGGTGCAGGTTGGAGTCTCTCACAGAATCCCTCAGGCTGAAAAAAATGTTACCCATGTGCCACCATAAAAATGTTTATGGCATCACAAAACCCAAGCAAACACATGTCCATGCCCCTTGACGCACCACAAATGCCCAAAATCATGGCCCCAATGATGTGCAACAATAGTTTGTGTTGCCTTTTCACAGCAGACATCTGTTTATAGTGTTCGAGCACTGGTAGCTCAGGGCTATGGGGGTTCCTCTGCTTGCAGACACAAGTAAGGGCACAGCACCCATGGCTGGCGTCCTGCAGGATTGGGCCCACAAAGCCTCAGGAGCAGTAGGGGCCCAACTCTGTGGGACCATGGCCTCAAGCAATGTCTGTAGACACCAATGAAGTGGATCAGCTATGCCTGAACATGTCTCAGTACAGCTGATCCTGCTCCAAAACAATGCCTGTTTATAACCTCAGATTAGTATTAAAACTACTCATGACTTTAAGAACATCACATAGATGAATAAGACTAGAATTTGATTTTCAAATTCTTCAGCTCGTTCTTTTTAAGCCAAAAATTCAACATAAACACTAAGGCAGTCTGTACAGGTATTTTCATTCTTCAAAGTATTTCAAAGACTCATAACAATTTATACCAAATCA